TGAATTCTGTTCAGTTCTTTCCCCCCAGCTTGAACTTGCATACTAGAACCAAGCATTATGCTAATGATCTCCAAGGACCCAGCGTTCCTGTTGCTTAGGAACAAAAGTTTCTCAGGCTGTGGAAGGAGAATTAAACAGAAAGACCCTGGACCTGAAGAAGTCCTTTTTGCCACTCCCCCTCCTCCTCACACCCCTCCCACACACTCACGCAAGCTTCTTGAAGGGCTTCCATTTTCTACCAGGGAAGTACGACTGAGAATTTGCAGGACTGTGAAAAGGAAATTGTCCTGTGCTCCCTGCTCACGTGTTTATTTACAGACTGAAAGAGTGACTCGTTACTCAATGAAGAGTGGACAGAGAACAACTGCACAGTAACAGAACATGAAGGCTCATCCCACACTACTGAAAAAAAAAACAAGCAGCTTATGACAACCTCACCTTCTAAGTCTTCCTAGCTGCTAGCCGGTAAGATCTTATGCAGGGGGGAAGCCTGACAGAATTGTTAAGATGAAACAATATTTTTGTTTAATCTTGGTGGTTTTGGTTTTATAAGCAAACTTGCACTATGTGATAGCACAGTGGCTCTGAAGTGATCTAGAAAAGTAAGAAAATTAAAGGAGAAAACCTTTCTCTATTTGCTCATGGCAGGATTTAGTCTAAACTTGCCTGTTAGTAAGAGACTGCATTTAAGATAGTGAATTAATCTCTCTTCCACAACAGCTTGTATCCAACAACAAAGAAATGGTAACAGGTTTGTAAGCAGGGAAATAAAAACCTACCCCATCTGGAACTGCTTGGCTTAATAAAAAATCATTTGCTATGTGAATGCTCTTTTTAAGCTTTATATCAAGGTCTTTCCATAGCAGGGAAATAAAAACCTACCCCATCTAGAACTGCTTGGCTTAATAAAAAATCATGTGCTATGTGAATGCTCATTTTAAGCTTTATATCAAAGTCTTTCCACAGGGGTATTTCGTGGGCGAGTTAGAACATGACACCTCACTGCCTTCCTGCCCTGAGAGGTGCAGGGCACACACAGCTCTACTGGGCTTGGCAACCCTTCTCTATATTACACAGAATTCCAGGAGGAAAGACAGAGGAAATTTTTCTCACAGACTAGTTCAAGATGGGATCAAGATGGTTCTGTGCAGCTTTGAGTGAAGTAGAAAGCAGCAAATCTATGGGATTAAAAGAACAGGCAGAACCACAGAGGAGGAGGCCCTGAAACACTCAGACCATGTCACAAGCAGAAGGTCTGTTCTACTCCTGCCAGCACTAGGCTCAAAAAGGAAGAAGAAAGGTTCAGATAGAAGAGATTGATTCATCAGGGTCCAAATCTGTATACTTCTAGGATCCTATCTCCTCCTTAGGATAGGCTTAGGCTACAGTGGGTCATGACTGGGCCCTGCGCAAGTGCTTAAGTGCAGATAAGGAATACTCTCCAATCCTCCCTTGCCTCAGGGAGACACTGACAGTCCTAGTTCTGATGCTCAAGGTGTGTTCCCCTCCTGCAGCTCCTAGCAACACTGCACCACAGGCAGCGTTATGCACTTGACACACATTTTCTATTCATTTCTCTATCAGGTCAGCCCCAAAGCTCTGAGCCTGTGAAATACTTCTAAAGCTCTGGGGTTAGCCCTGGACTTTCAAAAGCCCAAGCCAGAGTCAAGATTTTACCAAATGTGGATAAAAGGAGAAGTTCTCTAGTCAAGATCCTATTTAGTGAGACCTTACACACACAGAAATGCAGCACCCTCAACCCTGAAAAAAAGGCTTGCTAGCAACTCAGAGAGTGAATCTGGCAGTGGGGTGAGAGTTTAGAGAAAGTACAGAGTTCCCTCTTATCATCCTGATTTCTTAGGTACCAGGGCAGCACATGTACCTTTCCCTCTGCAACCCCAGGAGATGCACTGTAAGCATGAGATTGAAGAGGCATAATTAACATTTACAGCAAGGCAGGTTCCTGTGATTCCTGGCTTTTTAATATCAGTGCCTACAGAACTGGAGCCCTCTTATACAGAGCTAAAGAAAATGAGACATGGCTAAGTAAGCTCCATTATCTCTAGCTACAGCCCTGTGAAACACTGATAATTAGTTTACAAGAATGCAGAAACAAGAGTGCTATTCATCCTCTTCAAGTTGTCTGGTGCCCTGCAGTGTTTCTGTGGACCTCTAATGCTAATCCCTATTTTTGGGATTGCAAATGACCTTTTTCTAAGTTTGAAGTGCGGCTCCAACGTCTAACCCAAAGGAAGCAGCACTTGGAAAGGGTGAGCACTCCCTGGGGACTCACGTTTTCTTGATTGGTGCATCTTAGAAGTCCACAGTAGGATTTTAAAAAACCTGACTAAAGTAGGCAGTTAAATCTCTTTGAAGTCTGGGCATTACACAGTGCATTATAGAGAGGTCTGTCTCCAGAAAAGTTACACTGATCTGTCTGAACTTCCTAAAAGGTCCCTGTTCAAACTATCTAACAAGTTGGCAAGGGTTGTTGCCAGAGAAGTACCCACACCCGAAAGGTTGAGCCTTACCGTTATTCCTGAGGAGCCTCCAGCACTCAACCTTGTACACCAGGCTCCCTCTAGTGCTCCCAGGCATGCAGAGCACAGAGGGACACCAGCCCTGGGAACCACCATTAACAGACAGCTGCAGAACAGGCTGATTTTTTGGCTAGCTGGTATTTTTAAGAAATGAAACTATTTTGGATAAGTGTTCCCCTTTTGGATTTTAAATAAAAAGTAATAAAACAAAAATTAATAGGAACTGAAGAATTTTTTTTTCCTGAGAATTTTAAAGATGTTTAAAAAAACATTTAAAAAGCTATTATAATTTTTAACTTAGAAAAACAAAAAAGACTGTTTCTTTGAGGCTTCCTTTAGTTTTTATAAAGGCACACTTGGCTAAACAGTTTCAATGTCCAAAATTCACTGGATATTTCAGTCAACTCATCCAACACAAAATTAAAACAAAGAGAACGTTGTACCCAAAAGTCACTGTGTTCACATCAATTGCAGGAGGCAGAGAGTCTCTTTCTGGTAGTCGCACTCTGTGCACCAGTAAGGGACTGAACATGTTTTGTACCAGCAGCAGGGCCCTGGCATTACCTATGAGGCTGACCTTTATCTTCACAGCATTGCCAACAAGAATATTGCATCAAATCCTTAAAATGAGTGAGCTGTGATTAAGAAAAAAACCCTATTGTTTCAATCTACAGAACTTCCTACCCACTGCTGCACAATTTAGGCTAACATAAACAAAGGTGGAAAAAAGTACCTAATTTTTCCACTGTGGAGCACTTTGCTTCAGTTATCAGTCTACACTATGGAAAGAATAGCATTGGTATTGCCTCTGGGACACCGTAAGGTTAAATACAGCAGAGGGATATGCCTTCAGATATAATGGTAATATGGCCCTGTAAGTACTGGTGAGACAGAAATGTAGGAGTGACAGACACAGAAATATTTAAGAGTGTTTAAATATTTTTTTATAAAATAACAAGGATTCAATTTTCGAACACATCCTCAGGGCAAGACTGACCCCACTGTACTGCTTCCAGATTTTCTGAAGCATCTACCTCATTACAAAGCTCCCAGGAGGGTGGGTGGTAACTGGCAGAGATCCCCCTTGCTTTTGCATTATTTTTTACTACTGCATGTAATTGAAAAGGAACTGAAATGTCTTAGTTGTAGCCTGAGCTTCCCCTTCATGTATTTGCACATGATTAATGAGTAGCCAAAAAGCCTGAAGGGTTTGTAATGAAGCCTTTCTAATAGGGAAATGTATTGTAGACAAATCCATATTTTGTCCCAAACAATCATTCATCAAAGCTGCAGTTTGACTCTTCACAATTAAATGCCAGAGTACCCAGATCGTCCTGAGATTAGCCAGCTATAACCCATGCTCCTCTCTGCACTCTATCTGAGAGGAACATTGTCATCCATTTCTAGGGAATAAGCCTATTTCCTTTGTCACTAGCCATAATTAGCGGCTATATTGACCTTTGATTAGAGAGATAGGTTCCAACATGAGACTACAGCGGACTACTACTCATACAGATGAGAATTTGACAAAGCACACAGCACATGCTGAGCATCACCATGAGTCAAAAGCCTGATCAGAACACCTACATACTTTTTTGTTTTTGGAGGGCAGGGCACGATCACAGTGGAAGTTTATCTGTCCCACAGTATGGTTGGAAAGACAAGCTTAGAGTAGTGTGTGTCCTTGAAAGCACAGGCAACACATGACAAGGCCTGGTTTAATGTGTCATTAAGCAACACTGACAAGGGCCACCTGTTGCAGCCTGCACTGCAGGTGATGTATGAACTGCTAGCAGTTCTGGCAAATCTGGGAGCCCACTATATTCCTGTGGTCCCAATTAAAACAAGACTCTTAATCACTTGCTTTAAATATTTAATCTTTCAGTAGAGTCCGGAGCCCAGATCTCAGGCCTATTACACAAGATGTTTAGCCAACCTGACAACAGATACCAGGCCTGTAAAGAAGGCAACCCGTTGGTCTGGTAGAATAAGCACAATTTTGGGTAGCTTCTTTTAGCACAGTCCCTAAGGACTGAATTGAGACCCACAAAACGTTTTGCTCAGGTCCTCAAACAGCTGATGGATGGCAATATGTCTAATTCAGCTTCATTACATGCTGAGCTCAAAACATAATCTAGGGGTGCAAGTCAGCAAATTTTTCCCACTTGTAAATTCACCCTGTAATGCAAGAGAGGTGTTAGAATGCAATAAAATAACATTGTAAATTCTTTGAATTTCACATACTCAAAATACTGCCATGAAGAACGTTCAGAGTTGAAAAGTCCTGACTTAAAAAAAAATAAATTAAAAAGACTTCTGAAGAGTTCAGTGGTCACATGCTAATTTATAACTATGTTGTTACTCTGCTTTTAATTAGGGTGTAACAGCCACTGCTTTCAAAGGCTTTACTGGAGTGCCCACACTTTATCCACAGAGTCTGCTGTGTCTGTCAGTGAAGAGATGGCCAAGGGGAAAGCAAAAGGTCAAAAAGGGAGGAAGATCACCTTGAAAGTTGCCAAAAATTCCATCCGGATATGTCTTGACGGAGCACGCCGTCTTGACTTAAGCCATATGGGTATCACCACCTTCCCCAAGTGCATTCTGAAACTGGCTGATGTGGATGAACTTGATCTGAGCAGAAACATGCTAAAAAAGATTCCAAGTAGCATCGAGAAGTTCGAAAAACTGCGCTGGTTGGACTTGCATAGTAATCAGCTCGAGGATCTGCCTGAGGCAATAGGTACACTTCAGAATCTTTTCTACCTGAATATAAGCAACAACAAGCTGACCACCAAAAATCTGCCAGAAAACTTGAACCTTCTCAAGAACCTGCGTATTCTCAACATGGGCTTGAACTGTCTTGACAGTATTCCCACCACTCTTGGGGCCCTGAAGGAACTTAAGGAGATAGGTCTTTTTGACAATGCCTTGACCATCATCCCAAACAGTGTGAAAAATCTTCCCAACCTCAAGAAACTGAATACAGAAAGAAACCCTTTCCCAGATTCAAAGCAAGAAGAGGAAGCTGACTCCATTAAACGCGTAGAAACACTGCACTTAGTACAAGAGAAAGACCTGTGCTCTTCCTGCCTGAAGATGTGTCAGGATGAGAAGGACAAGCTGAACAAGTTACAAAATGTGCCACCTAGTCCTGCAAAGAAGCCAAGTTTTCCTTTACTCCTTACACCCAATTCCTCTGCAAAGGATAATGAAGAAGAATGGAGATTAAGAGAGAAACATCCCTGAAATATACCAAGGCATTCTACAGATCATATTGCATGAAGTCCAGCCCAAGCTAATAAAAAGCTGACCTCTTTCATCCTCCCTTTTCCTGCAGTCCTCTTCCTTTAAGGATCTACTTAGTTTTAGAAGCAGCAGATCTGTGTGGTCTCTTAAACAAAATCCCAAACAACTAAAACACATGTATATTTTTGGACGTGTGCATTTGGGAAAGAAAGGGCTATTTTCATCTGGCCCTAGTACTACAACATGTTAGATTTGGGGATTTTGTCTCTTGTGTGTGCACGTGTCTAGTGAAAGAATCATTGAAAATATTAGTTCTGTTCATTTTCATAGGGTGAGACACAATTAAACCATTCCTAACAAATACCATTTGGAGGAAAAGAAACGGATCTGGGGACCTTCTGTGGCTGGTGGCTGCCACCAGCCCCTCAGAGAATCTCAGATAGGCACTGTTAGTGTAGGAACCATGAGTCCATTCCAGCTGAGCAGAGGCTAGCAGAGACAAATGTTATGCTTAAGGAGTAACTAAGCAGTGCAAACACAATGCTTAGAGCTAAACAACCAGTGATCCTGTTTGCCATCAAGGGGCCAGACACTGCATAAGCAAGTTCTCTGGAATTTTGAATACTATATCTGGGTGCAGTGATCTCTAACTCGCGCAACACGATGAGCACCCCTGACTACACTCACTGTGTTTTGTCTGCCTCTGAGTCTCCTTCCAAGGAAGGTACAGAAAAGAAAAGGGGTAGGGAAAAAATTGCTCTTTTTAAGGGTTCTGGGCATATCACTTAAACAATGACTAAGAGAAGAGGAGTCATCCTCTTCCATGATCCAAGAGTCAGCTTGTGAACTGATGAAATCAGGCCTGGTGTCTCTACAGTACTTTTAGCTTTCTGTTCACATGTGTGCATGCACATGTGCACCTGAGCACACACACAATTGTTCAAATCACATCCCTAGGGCAGAGAGCACTGACAGCCTGCAGATAGCAATATAGAGGCACAAGCAATGAGCAGATTCTAAAAGCAATCAAGCATGACATAAGAAGAGGTCCTGGCTGTGGCCATAGCAATATACAGTGATGGTGAATATTTAAGTGTATTTAAATGAAGAATAAAGTGCCAGGGGTAAAGTGCTTGGTTGTCCAGTAGCAGCCCATTGTAATTTCTTTATGTGTCTGCCACAGAGCCTGAGAGTCAGAATTCCTGCACAATATTCCTGTGGAAAAACTGATACAGGTTTTCCCAGAAATGCTACTACCTCAATGTCATATGATACATCAAACTAGCAATTTCTTCTTTCCATGCTTCAGCTGTGTGGTTATTAATAGTGTGTCTGGGCAGAGAGCTTAGTCTGGCCTGCCTCCCTGTCTCATGCCAAAGCTATGCCAAAGGCCTCTTACAATGGGTCCTCTTTTAGCCAGTGGAGTAAAACTGAAGGCAGAGCCTTACATGATTCAGGACAGGCTACTTTAGACTTAAGACATGCAGCCTGCTTCAATCTGTGAGACCAAACATAAGCTTTTCCTCACAATAATCACAAGCTCAGCTAAAGCCCAAAGTTCCTGCAGTCATAGTGCTACTTATCTCAAGACATTCCAACCTGTTGAGCACCCAGCAAGCACAGAGAAAGAGAACCCTGGGGTGAGTTATTAGCTGCTCCACATGGCACACATCGCGCTCCAGAGAGTCAGCCATTACCTGTGGCATAGGTTAGGCTCTAGTCAGAGCTGATGGCATACGGCACTGGTATTTTTACCAGCTGTTGGCTGGTACTCAGCAGTGAAAACATTCACTTAAAAGACAGGTAATGTTCTACAACAGGCAGAATGAAAATTAAAGAGTAACGCTGACACAGGCCACAATAACTCCCAGGAGCAGTCTGCCCCTTGCGTCTCAACAGCATTCCAGCCTCCAGGTGATCATTTCAGAGGAAAACAGTTAGGTACTCAGGGCTGTGTTCCTGAAGGTATCCAAATTAAGAAGAGTTACAGGTAGGCAAGTAACTCAAGGTCAGCATGGAATATGGTCTCAATCGTGTCCCACTGGGAATACTTTTTTCCAACAGTGGTAAATCTGAGGGACAACAAGTTGGAATCTCCACTATTGCACAATTACTATAACACGCCAGCACATCCATGTGTACATCTATCACTGTCTGCCCTAACCACACAATAAAGAGGCCATTACACAGGATCATTACATATTGCCTCTAACAACCTCACCTCACTGTCTCTTTCCCACGCCAACCATCTGTGTAGAGTTTACCAATAAAGTCATATTAAGGAGGTAATAATTATTAATCAACTATGCATAGTCAGCTACTCAGTATGTTTTTTTGTGTCTTCATGCTGTGGAGGCTGTACACTAGAATGCTTTCCACAGTTCTGGGGATGCCTTTGAATCTTTAAAAAAAACGGGTGCAAACAGGTAAATTTCTAGATGCTTTTTAAAGGTGCAGCTTATTCACACAATTGCACTTGCCTACAGTTATCCAATGTGTGCTATGTTTTACCTTATATTCAAGGACTCTTCTGTTATCCCCTTTGACTTCAAAGCAGGCTGGAAAGAGCAAAATCTATAGGAGATATGAAAGGTCATGTTATAATTATTTAAATGGTTATCTGTATATATTACAAACACACATAATCTATACCATGTTCTGACAGCAGCTTTTTTCCTCAAGGGCACCATGGTATTTCACTGAGGCTCTAACCTAGGACAAAGTTGCAAGATAACACAGCAAAAATATACATTTAATGTTAAGGAGTTGCCTATTGCTTGTTTTTTTCCTAAACAGGACCTTGAATTGATATATGGGGCTATGGACTTATGATCAGGTGGTTTAAGGTGCTGTTAATTAAAGCTAGAGAATGAGAACATCAAGCATTTGTCTAGCAAAAACAGCAGAAAGCAGTAACAACCCACATCTCAGCCATCCTACTTACTTTCCCTGGGAGTTTATGATGTCACATGTACTAAATCCTCAAAACACCTAGGTTTGGTGACCTTCAGATGAGAGGCAATACAGGCAGCCAAGGATCAAACTGTTATTTTGAACTGCCTTTTGAACTGCAAGATTCCCCAAAGAGATTTGTCAGAGCTAAAAGACAGCAAAGATAAGGGCTAAAAAAACCAGCCAGCTCTGGGGCACACTCTGGTGATTCTGAGTAGCTACACTATGCAGACAGTTCAGAAAGGAAGAACAGACTTCTGCATTGATTCAAGTGATATTCCATTAGATGCCTTTTGAACTGCAAGATTCCCCAAAGACATTTGTCAGAGCTAAAAGACAGCAAAGATAAGGGCTAAAAAAACCAGCCAGCTCTGGGGCACAATCTGGTGATTCTGAGTAGCTACACTATGCAGACAGTTCAGAAAGGAAGAACAGACTTCTTCTGCATTGATTCAAGTGATACTCCATTAGAAATTTTCAGAGATTTCAGAAGCAGAAGGAACTGCTATCTTTGTTTTGAAATTAACAGGACAAATCCTCAGTTCAGGCTGCAGAATTTACCACAGGAACTACTACATATTGAAGCATTTTCCCTGCATAAAGTACAGTGAAAATGGACCTAATATAACAGCCAGAACTGCAGTAGGAAAAAAAATACGCAAGAAAACAAAGTGAAAATTAATCACTTCGTAGTCTTACATTCAAATTCCATCAAACAAGACAAGCACATGAGGAGAAACGTTTCTTAAACAAAAAATCCATTGTTAAAAGTTAACTCCACATCAAAGATAAAGACAGAATCAGAGTGACAAAAACATTTTATTCATGAAGAATCTAATGACACTTCATCTGTTGGAAGACAGCGGGAAGAAACCTTATTTATTTCACCCAGTATTGTGAGGTGAGACATAGATGGCTCTCATCTGTGAGAAGCAGCAACACAACTGCAATTGCAGTTTCCTGGGATGCAGGAACACATAACATGCCACTGGGTGCTAGAAGAATCCTACCTGTGTTAGCTCCCATGATAATAGGTATATAACGATTTGAAGAGGTCACAGGTTAGCAACAGGAAACTTCCCTAGCTTTGGTTAAGTGTCTCTTAAAGACAAAGGAGCTGCAGTTGAAGGAGCCTCTGGGGTAGCACAAAACAGACATCTGAAGCAAGGATAAATAGTTAAGATAAACAGATAAATAGATAAATAATAGATAAATAAATAGCCAGGTGATAGACCAGCAGTGTTACCTGGGTGTTCACATGTTATTATGAAATAATGATTACCTCTTAAATATCTTATTTCGGTCGCTGTCATGGAAGACAAGAAATCTGGAGTAACCATTTTTGAAGAATATTTCCAAGGCAATCTCCTGGAAAGATAAATCATTTACAATGTGAAGAGCTGCAAAGCAAAGCCTAGAGCTGCAAAGAGTCCATTATGACCCGTCCAGTTCTTCAAGGTTTAAAAATAAGGCCTTGATTTTGTATAAAGTGGGAAGATTTGTAGCAAAATAAGCCTAATATTCCAAATTATTACAAATATATGTCATTACTGTTGTTGCAGTTTTCCCTCAAATGACTGAGCGTGTTCATTAAAATATGCCTAATATTCCAAATTATTACAAATATATGTCATTACTGTTGTTGCAGTTTTCCCTCAGATGACTGTGTTCATTCCTACCTGCAGAAGAAAGCGCATCAAATGAATCTCTTTTATATCATGGTACGAGTAACGGGAACACATCTGGTCTCCCACAGCATGGTCTTTATGGCATAAGTTAAAAATAAATGGGTCACTGATGCTGAAAGAGAAAAATACAAAGAAAGAAAAATTAATCTGAAATAAAAAAAAAAATAGGAGAGGCCTCATAAACATCCAAATCCTCCCTAAAGAAGAATAAAAATACTAAGAGATAGCAAGATCAATTGGGGTGTGCATGAATTGAAAACAAAGATAAATACTGAAGGCAGATTTTGTATTAGTTCCAAAAATAAAATAAAGAGCTTGTAGAAGCTAAGAGTAGGTTTGGAAGTATTTTAGTATATATAA